GTCCCTTAAAAAACTAAAAAAAAGGGCCTTTTTTTTTTTTTTTGGGCCTTAACCTTTTCCTTTTGGTTTTAATGTTTTTTGGCACCCAAAAATTTCGGTCGGGGAAAGGGCGTTTATTATGCTTGTTTTTGGGCTAAAAATTAAGGGTAATTTAAATTTTTACATTTTAGTCATTTAGCAGCCCTTTATACCAGACGTACGTTAGTGATGATAAATTTTTTCATACGGGCCCCGGGGGAATCAAACCCCACAATCGGCGTTCAACCCACCCCTTACCACTGGTAACCCTGCCGGCCTTTTCCCCCCCTACCCGGCCACGTGGCAATGTCGCCGCCCCGGTCGCGGCCGGCACGACAGAGCTTTTTTTTATAAATTGTGTCCCTAAATATCTTTGCTTGCCCTTTAAAAGAGTCTTGGTGCCCCCCGGGGACCGGGAAACCCCATGGGGGGGCCCCAAAATTCCCCACGTCGCCCCGGGTAGGGGGGGGAAGGGGGCAGGGATGTGAGGGGGGCTTTGCAACGCAGGGTTTTTGGGTTCGATTCCCACGGGGGGCCGTATTAAACATTTTAAAATAATGTATGCACTCCAAAGTAAGTCCTCTGGATAAAGTGTCTGCTAAAAGACTAAAAGACGAAAAATAAGCGGGGTTTTTTCCCCGGGTGGGGGACCGATGCTGCGGAATGGTGTTGGAGGGCCCTTAGGGGGCAGTCTTTACTCGGGCTAAGAAAAAAATCCCCAATCCCCGGGGGGGAATGGGGGCATTCCCTGGTGGGTGCCGCTTTTGGGGATGTTAAAAAGGGTCCTATCTCGTGGCCCATTTTTTACATTTTTTTCATTTTTATTTGCAACCCCCCCTTAAACCAAGGCTTACAGGAGCAATTAGGGGTTAAGTGCCTTGCTCAGGGCACATAACGTAATTTAGCAGACGCTCTTAGCCAGAGCGAACTCACAAAATGGGTGCGTTCACCCTATAGGCAGTGGATAAACCACTTACATTTGGGGGGGGGGGGGGGGGGGGGGGGTGGGGTTTAGAAGGAATTAATTATGCCTATCCCAGGTATTCCTAAAGAGGTGGGGTTTCAAATGTCTCCGGAAGGTGGTTGAGTGACTCCGCTGTCCTGGCGTCGTGAGGGACGCTTGCTCCACCCATTGGGGTGCAGAGCAGCGAACAGTTTTGAATGGGGCTGAGGCGGGGAGCTGTGCTTCGCAGAGGAAGGGGAGCCAGCAGGCCAGAGGTGGAGAACGCAATGTCCTCGTTGGGTGTAGGACTGATCCAGAGCCTGAAGGTACAGGGGTTGCCGTTCCCCTCACTGCCCAAGGCAAGCACCATGGTTTGTAGCGGAGGATTGCGAGCTTCAATTGGAAGCCAGTGGGAGGAGTGTGCGGAGAGGCGGGTGTGAAGACGTGAAGAGAACTTGGAAGGTTGAAACACCAGACGGGCTGCGGCCATCTGGATGAGTTGTAAGGGGTTAAATGGCACAGGCAAGGGAGCCCAGGCCAACAGCGAGTTTGCAGTATAGTCCAGACGGGAGATGGACATGCCTGGACCCAGGAACGCGCCGCTTCTGTTGGAAGGCAGGGTCGCCTTCCGAATGTTGTAGAGCATTGAACTGAGGAGGGGGTCAACCGCCTTTATGTTGGCGGAGAACGAAAGGGTGTTGTCCAGGGTCACGCAGGCTCTTCGCCACTCTGGGAGGAGGACACAGCGGAGTAGTTGTTCGACCGTGAGGCGAGATCATGGAAACGGGCAGTCCTTCCCCGGGATGGAAGAGCAGCTCCGTCTGCCAGGGTTCAGCTTGAGTGGTGATCCGGCATCAATTACTGATATGGTTCTGCCAAGCAGACATGCAGAGATGCGATTTCGCCACCTGGTATCAGAAGGGGGAAGGAAAGGAGAAGATAGTTGTTGTATCGTCAGCGTAGCAATGATAGGAAGGCCATGTGAGATTGACAGAGGCCAAGTGACTTGGTGTTATAGGGAGAAAAGGGAGGAGGGCCCCCAAAAACCGATCCTGGGGGACACCAGTGGTGGAGAGCACGTGGGCGGAGACAGCTTCCGCAACGCCACTGGTTAGGAGCGGGGAATCGGTCAGGGATAGGACGCAATCCAGGAGTGAAGCCGGCGGAGACAAGAGATGCCCCATTCGGAGAGGGTGGAGAGGAGGATATGATGGTTCCACAGTATTTCAAAGGCAGCAGAAAGGTCTAGAAAGGGAAAAGAGCAGAGGAGAGAGAGTTAGCTTTAGCAGTGCGGAGAGTCTCTGTGAAACAGAGAAGAGCAGTCTCAGTTGAATTGACCAGTCCTGAAACCTGAGGGTTGGACAAGAAGGTCATCTGCGAGAGATAGCAAGGAGTGGCTAAAGACGGCAACGCTCAATAGTTTTGGAAAGAAAAGAAAGAAGGGGAGACTGGTCTGTAGTTGTTGAGACATCAAGTGGGGTCGAGGTGGTTTTTTGAGAAAGGGGCGTAACTCTCGCTCTATGAAGACGGAAGGGAACTGGAAAATGAAAAAGCGCAAGCGCACAAGCGTCAAGGATGAGTTGATCAGCGAGGTGAGGGAGGGGAGAAGGAGGACGAAGCTAGGGGAGAGAGAAGGTCACCGGGAGATGTCTGGAGAAGGGAGGCAGGAGGGGATGGGATGGGGTCAAGCTGGGCAGGTGTTGGGGGCCTGCAGTCACAAGTCGCAGGATCTTATCTGGAGAGAGGAGGAGAGAGAGGGGAGAAGAAGTCAAGTCAAAAGCATTAGGGTCTTCTTTTAGGGCAGTTGAGCAGGACCAGCAGTTGTCATTAGACTTAACAAACAAGGATCGGATGTCGTCAACCTTCTTTTCAAAGTGGTTGACGAAGTCATCCACAGAGAGAGAGGAGGGGGGGGGGGGGAGGAGGATTCAGGAGGGAGGAAATGTGGCAAAGGAATGTGGCAAACCACAACTCAAGGATACTCTGGACTTATCGTAAGTAAGAGTAGGGGTTTAACCCCGGTTATGTCCGGCTAATTACCAATCTGTCCTCATACCATCATGGCCACCAATCATCCCCCAGCTTCCAATTGGGCTCTTCATCCCCCCTTCCTCTTCCCCCGTAACTATTCCACAAAGTAAAAAAACACTTGGTCTCCAGAGGTTCAGAGATTGATTAGACATCATTAATTATATAACAGAGCAATTAGACATCATCATTAATATAACATTAGTTAGATATTAGGACCATTAGATTATTAGACATATTAAGACATCATCATTAATATAACAATTACATTAGACATCATTAATATACATTAGATTAGACATAATTAATATAAACATTTAGATTAGACATTCATTAATATAACATAGATTAGACATCATTAATGTAACATTCGATTAGGACATCATTAAATATACATTTAGATTAGAAATCATTAATTATACATTAGATTTTAAACATCATCATTAATATAAAAATTTAGATTAGACATCATTAATATAACATTAGATTAGAATCATTAATATAACATTAATATAGGGACATCATTATGAACATTAGATTAGACAGCATTAATTATAACATAGAGTAGACATCATTAAGGAGAAAAGGAGAAGGAGAAAGGTAAGGAAGGGAAAAGGAGGAGATGAGAAAGAAAGGGAAGAGAAAAGGGAGAGGAGAAAAATGAAGGTAGTAGAAAAGGAGAGGAAGGAAAAAGTCATTAACAGTAACATTAGAGGAGACATAATTATAAAACATTTTAGATTAGGGTGTAGACATTCATTAACATAACATAATATTAGACATCATTAATAGAACAAATATTAGGACAATCATTAATATACCATCATAATATTAGGACATCATTTAATATAAACATTAGATTAGTCATCATTGAATTTATAACATTAGATTAGACCATCATTAAGATAACATTAGATTGAATTATAATATAAATTAGATTAGAACCATCATTAATATAACATACTATTTAAAAATCAGGAACCAGAGATGAGAACAGTGACGAGGAAGAAAGAGAGGAGAAAGAAGGAATGAGAAATGAGATGAGAGAGTAGATATCATTAAGAAACATTAGATTAGGAAATAATTAATAGAACAGACTATTGAAATAACATTAATTATAACATAATATTAGCATCAGTAATATAACAAGATAACATCATTAATTATAACATTAGATAGGACATCATTAATATAAACTTAGATTAACATCATTAATATAACATTAGATTAGACATCATTAATATAACATTAGATTAGGCATCATTATCATTAATATAAAACATTAGATTAAACATCATTAATATAACATTAGTTAGGACACCATTACTTAACATAGATTTGACATCTTAATATAACATTAGATACTATCACATGCTTCTATACTCTATTATAATTAATACGAGTAAAATATTGATTATAATAATATAAAATTATCAGAAAATATAATGTTTAAT